GAACCTGAACACTTGAAGGGGGAAAGGCATTAACGATTTTATGGCTTTAAGTTTTAAAGTTACACAAGAGTGGGTGAAAGAGAAATTTGATGCCAACTGTTTTTGCAATCCAGTGACTTTATTTTATCCCAAAGGCTATGGGAACAGGCAGTCAGTTTCTTCCCTGCTATAAAAATGATGTCCATGTGCTTTCATTTCTTCACCACTTAACTTCTTCAGGGTAATAAGAGGTAGAGAAGAAACACCTGGTTCCTCTCTCAAGTGTATTGCAGTTATGTTTCCCACCCACAATGTTAGTTCAGCTTTGAGGACCTTGTTGCTTCAATGGTTGTTCTTTGTTGTACCATTAAATGTCCAAAAGAAGAAAAAAACTACCTGACAAAATTATGTCTCATAAATTAAAAATAAAGTAGCTCACTCCCTGGTTTCTTACTGTTAACTTTATAGCACCCACTCACTCACACTCATACACACACAGACCCTGGAGACCAGAAGAGAATGCAGGAACAGAATACTTTTGCACCCTCTGTCAGAAAGATCCAGTACTGCTGTGTGGAGGCTGGGTGTATGGCCTGTAAATGTGTCTTCAGGTAACCTACATGTACTTTATTTTAGGACAAGAGTCACCACCATTTGATATTATCTTCTGTGTGTGCATTTTCAGAGCGAAACAAATGGAGAAATTTCAATTTATGAAGATTACAACCAAAGCAAAAGAACTGTAGCTTTTCCTTACACTTACCTCACTGGGTATTTTGGAATATATTTTCTTTGCCTCAGTTAATTTAGCCTTTACATTAACATACTGAGATATTACATATCTGACTACAAATATTGGACATTGAGTCTGTAGCAACTGCTGTTGCCTTATTTAAGAGGTAATGATCTAATCACAGTATTTGAGGTTCTGGTCATTACCAGGGGATACCCTGTGCTTCTGGATAATTCTCCAGCATGGCCTGAGGACACAGCAAGAGAGAGCCCAGGAAAGAAAAGCACTATAGTAGAGCTCTGAAAATTCAACCACTGTAATTCTTGTTTTATTTAAGTGTGCTGTGGTCATAAATAGTTACCTAGAAGGTATAATTCACAGTGGACCTTTTAATATGTAAAACTCTTCCTACTGTAAAGTTACAAACATTAATCAAAGTACAATCTTAAACCCCTCAAAGTATAATGTGACATATCAACAGAAAAACACTGAAACAAAAGGTTTGACATTTATTTATCAAAATCAATAAATTCAAGATGGATAATATATAAACTGTATCCTTTAAGACCTATTGTGTGAAACATTAGTGTCATGTGTTTCCTTCCTCTTCTCTACAACACTGCATTTAAGAATAATTTGGATTGGCATAATTTCTATTTCATTATTAAGATTTTTGACAGTGCAGAGCCATACAATTTGCAAGTCTTATTTGTAATTACCCATAAAATCAATGCAGAGCTTGCCATCACTAAATTAGAAGTTCATAATTAAAAAATATAACCCTGAAACCTAACAATTAAAATTTTGCCCATTAGAAACTATTTACATATAAAATGTTCTGCATTTTTGCTATTAACTTGTTGAGGACTCATAGAAATGCCTTTTGTGAACCATGCAAGGAACAGCCTTTTCTCCCAAGTGTAGTATGAGCCATTTTCTGTTTTGACCCTTTTGCCAGGGAACTTGGAGCTGCATCTGACCCTGAGTCATAGTAGCTCTGCTAACATATTTGCAGGTACTTCACAAAGTTCTTAGAAAATGTAAGTAAAAGTAAGTGCATTTTGGTGCCAAAAGATTTTGAAATCCATGCATAGTTTTTTCATAAAATAAATTTTCTATGGGATGGATTTCAATAATTTTTACACCAAAATAAACTAAGCTTTTAATTTCATGTTTCTATTTCCTTTTTGAAGTACCCTTGTACATAATCCAGTGCTGTTTATTCCTGACAGGGAACTAACATTCGAACATCCAGGTTCTTCTGTATTTGAACTTTAGAATGAAGAAAATGATAATTGCCACATGTATAGTTGCTAGTGCAAAATTGACTGTATAATAAGCAAAAGCTCTTGTATGTGTAAGTTGTTTCTCCTGTAATACAGAAGGAATTAAAATGTGCAATGTTAATAGCTGTTTCTGTATGAGCAAGGATATGGAGGACAATTTTATGGAGGAGAAGGGTACTTCTGTCCACACCACCTGGATTTGGATACCATGAGGATAACCTGGGAGCACCATAGAGGAGGACTGGCCTGTATGGTTCTGAGAGGCATGACCCACTGTGAGAAAATATGCCGAATAGCCTAACACAGAACTTCAGTCAGAAAACTGACTTGAGAGTTATCTTTGTTCACAGACAAGTTGGTTTATGCCACTCAAGTGTCTGGAGAGATGGCAGGAGGTTGCAGCAAATTGTTTTCAAGTTGTCTAATTCTGTTAGTCTTATGCCAGCCCTCTGTATTCTGACATGCTGCCAGAGCATTGTTGGGTTACAGAAACTTGGTCTTTTATTCTATTTTAACTTTATTTTGCTTTCATTTTGTGTTGGATAAATGGTTTTCTTTAAGTGTGTCAGAATTTCGTTTATATAGGACACAGGTCCATGTGTCTTTTTAGCAATTTAATTATCATGGGACTAGAACTTTGAGTTCAAAAATTCTTTACACCAATGTAAATTTATCTTCCAATTCTGTTTTTCCACAAACTTTAGATTACTCTCATATTTTCTTTTATATTTCGTAGTCACATTTACTTGATCTTAGTCTATTCCATCCTGTGAGTGTGCAAATGCATGTTTTTCTCGTGAGTAATCACAGATTATGTGGGAAGCAAGTGGTGTTTAATTAAAATAAATAAGATCGTATTCTTGTAATCCTCAACCTGTAAGAAATATTAAAATATTGATGACTCAGCTGTGATGAAATTTGGGAGTACTGATAAATCAGTCTCCCCATCTTCTTTAAAAATATTTTTCTCTATTTAAAACAACAGCAATAACAAACCAAAGAAGAAACAGATTGGTCAGCCCGTGTCCAAGCATAGTTTCTTCTTAAAGAAAATTTACAAAGATATTAACTGGATTTTTAAAAATGTCCCAAATCCTTTACATGAAAAAAAAATTTTAATTATAAGACACATATCCCATATTATCTCAGAATTTATCCGTTGCTATATGTGGCTCCCTGCCACCTATTTTTAAAAGATCAGAATGTTTTTATCTGTTTTTAAAAGATCACATCTGACATCCCATAATAGTTACTGACATTATAACTAAAATGCTGATTTGAGCAACTGATTTTGTACTGCTTACCTGGCGAAGCAGGGTATAGGAAGGTTCTGATTAAACCTCCTGTACTAATTACTGTAAACTCCTTCTGTGAATGGGATGCTAACTGTCACAGTAACTGTTGCTCTGGAAGTGGGGTGACTACAGTGAAGCTATTAGATAATAATAGGTGATTGTCCTAAGTGTTTGCATGTGTGCTGGTTTCAAGAGGTTCTCTGAAGTCAAGCAGTGTCCCTTTTTCAATGGATACATAATGATGTGTATAATAATCTGTTAGGGTAAGATTATCACTCCTGCTGCACAAAAGCACTTATCACATAGTCATTGACATTCAGTTTTCATAACAATTGAGCAGAAAGACATGGGGACATAGGCTCCTATTCTTCAATCCCAAATGATCATTCAGGAGGTACTTTTTCAATTTTCTCGTTCACTCTTTTCTCATCCATCTTTCTCATCTCAAAAACTCAATGAGCCGGCGCCGTGGCTCAATAGGCTAATCCTCCACCTTGCGGCGCCGGTACACCGGGTTCTAGTCCCGTTCGGGGCGCCAGATTCTGTCCCGGTTGCCCCTCTTCCAGGCCAGCTCTCTGCTATGGCCAGGGAGTGCAGTGGAGGATGGCCCAGGTGCTTGGGCCCTGCACCCCATGGGAGACCAGGAAAAAGCACCTGGCTCCTGGCTCCTGCCATCGGATCAGCGCGGTGCGCCGGCTGCAGCGGCGGCCATTGGAGGGTGAACCAACGGCAAGGGAAGACCTTTCTCTCTCTGTCTCTCTCTCTCACTGTCCACTCTGCCTATCAAAAAATTAAAAAAAAAAAAAAAACTCAATGAGACTAGATTTTATATAATCTCTAGTTTCTATTTGGAGCCTAAGCTATGGCATAGACAGATAGCTCTGTTGAACCACCTGAAGATCATTTTAGAATCATCAAAAATACACCTTTGCTTAACTTGCTGGATTGTTATATTTTTTTAAAATAAGCCAGTCCCAAAAAGACAAATATCATATTTACCTTATCTGTGGTAACTAATAGAGTAAAAACAGATGTAATGTATATGAGCAAAATGGACATTTTGAGATTTGATTATTGTTCACAGCAATTGTTTCTACTATTGAATTGTTCATAGCCCTTGTTTCTACTATTTGTTGAATACTTAGTGGAGGGTTAAGCTTATTATTATAAAATAAACTGAAACTATGTCATTGTAAAAATAAAAATAAAATTAGTATTCAATGATAAGCATTAGAAGCCCACTAATCCTTGCTGAGATGTCTTAGCTCTCAAAAGACTCTCTGTAAACCAGGAATTAAAAACTTTTAAATATGTTTGAATCTGTAGTTTTTATAACCCGTAATTCAGTATTCTCTGAAATGTTCACAGTTGCTTACATTGAATCACGAATGTAAAGCTAAATACATGTCAGAACCTTAACCCATTGTGATTTCTGAGAAGATACATTTTACTAGGTTTTCACTGTCAGATTCCTCTACATAAATTCATGCAAGTGAAGTTAGTTTGCAGACCTGGGTAATACATTGATTTTCAAGAGATAAAAATACTTTCAAATAAGCTGTCATATAGTGAGATAACTTTAATTTGTTGATCATATTTCTAACAGAAAGTCAAGGTTCATCTAAGAACCATAATAATGCTTTTATTTTGGTAGACTGAGTCAGATAATAAAGCATCATTTGTGATGAGCTTTTATGTTTTCTGCAGGTGGATAACTGGAGCAGCTATAGTCAATGCATTTTATTCTTCAGGCAGAAATCAAATAGGTAAGATATATTCCTACATAATTCTTTAGTATTTGTATAGTATATTATGTGACCAATTTGCAGTCCCCCAAAAAGCACAGCTAAGGCTGAGTTATTAATTTATGGAATACAGTTATTGATAGTAAATGCACCTATTTTGTTTTTACTGTACTGGGAAAATTTTAATTGGTATAAATCAGGTCAAGTAATTTTGTTTCTTTTCTAACACTCTCATTTGTAGCTAAAATGTTATTTTTCTAAGAACTTTTTTTAAGTTCCTTAAATAGCTTTACAAACTTGTATTGACTTTCAGACTTGCTAAGCATCAGCATATTCAAGCTGTTTAAGGTTCCAAGAGCCAGCCTTTCAGTTCTAAGAGTGTTCAGAATCAAGAGTAAAGATAATCTCAGCATTATTACAAACTATTCTTTTTTTCAACTTTTATTTAATAAATACACATTCCCAAAGTGCAACTTTTGAATTATAGCGCTTTTCCTTCCATAACCTCCCTCCCACCGCAACCATCCCATCTCCCACTCCCTCTCCCATCCCATTCTTCATCAAGATTCATTTTCAATTATCTTTATATACAGAAAATCAACTTAGTATATACTAAGTAAAGATTTCAACAGACTGCACCCACAAAGACACACAAAGTATAGAGTACCATTTGAGTAGTAGTTTTACCGTTAATTCGCATACTTGGGGAGTAGGTGCACAGTGACTCTCATTGTTGATTTAGCAATTGACACTCTTATTTATGACATCAGTAATCACCCAAGGCTCCGAAGGAGGTACCTTTCTCTGAAGCGAAGAGAGAACGTCCACTTTGACTATGGCTTTGTCTAAATAAGATCGGAGTTGGTGAACTCAAGAGGCTTCCATAGCCTTTGCAGCTCATGACAAACTATTCTTTATATCTGAGTCTGTCACCTGTCTCCCTTTTCTTGAATTTGGTTACCAATTTGATTAGCAGTTATGAAACATCTTGCAAGATACTTATCGTTGAGTAAAACAGAAGCCTTAAAAACATTATGCCCTTTAATTATGAAGTTTGATTTTGCCTTCCTTCATTGCTTTTAAATCTCAGAAGAGTTAGGTTAGGAAATTATCTGCATTCTCTTCTAGTATTTTAATGGTTTCTAATTTTGGAGTAAAACTTTACTCCATCTGGGATTTACTTTGGTACATGATATGAAAATGAATTTTACAAAGTAATCAGAAAAGGTTGTCTTTATATAATGTATAGATAATAAATAAGACATGTGTACCCAAGTTAAAATCAGTTAGCTCAAAGTTTAGGCTAAGATGTTTTTCAGTACAGGAAATGATAACCTAAAGCCAGACCAGAACCTGCTTAATGATCAACTCCTCAGAACCCTTGCACTCAATCCTTTATAATGTATTCCTAAAACCACTCAGATATTTTCTTAGAAATGCCTTTATCTCTGAAAGTTCTTCCCTTTAAAGACCTCTTTTTTTTAACTTTTATTTAGTAAATATAAATTTCCAAAGTACAGTTTATGGATTACAATGGCTCCCCCCCCCATAACTTCCCTCCCACTCACACCCCTCCCATCTCCCACTCCCTCTCCTATTCCTTTCACATCAAGATTAATTTTCAATTATCTTTATATACAGAAGATCTATTTAGTATATATTAAGTAAAGATTTCATCAGTTTGCACCCACACAGAAACACAAAGTGTAAAATACTGTTTCAGAACTAGTTATAGCATTACTTCACATTGGACAACACATTAAGGACAGATCCCACATGAGAAGTAAGTACATAGTGACTCCTGTTGTTGCCTTAACAATTTTGCACTCTTATTTATGGCATCAGTAATCTGCCTAGACTCTTGTCATGAGTTGCCAAGGCTATGGAAGCCTTTTGAGTTCTCTGACTTTGATCTTATTCCGACAGGGTCATAGTCAAAGGGGAAGTTCTCTCCTCCCTTCAGAGAAAGGTACCTCCTTCTTTGATGGCCCTGTTCTTTCCACTGGGATCTCACTCGCAGAGATCTTTCATTTACATGTTTTTCTTTTTTTTTTCCAGGGTGTCTTGGCTTTCCATGCCTAAAATACTCTCATGGGCTCTTTAGCCATATCTGAATGCCTTAAGGGCTGATTCTGAGGCCAGAGTGCTATTTAGGACATCTGCCATTCTATAAGTCTGCTGTGTATCTCTTTTTAATAGGAGTTCTGTTTCTCAAAGATCTAGATCATTCCACACTGAGATATAGTCAGAATAATTAACTTTCAGTGCACTCCCAAAGCAAATTAAGGCATCTAGACTAGGGATGGGGCAGACTAAAAGCTGAAGCTTCATTTAACTCTAGCTCAGGGCAGATCCTGGATCCTATGAGACCTGGTGATGATGTATACTCAGTAAGAGTTGTCAGACAGATACTCTAGGATGACTCGCATATGCACCCCTCTGCCTTCTCCGGAGCCGGTTCAGGCATTTATGCTGGTCTACCTTGTTTGGCTCAAAATTGGTTCACTTTAAAGTTTCCCTGATCAGAAAAGAGCTGAGATTGTTCTCATTTGAGTTTAAGATCCTCAAAACAAACTGGCATACAGAAAAATGAAAAAGAAAATAAAGCGGCCTAATATTTCACAAAGTACACAATCATTTTTGAAATAATAAAGAATTGCTATCATGACTCTTCTTAAGGTATAAGAAAGACCTTTTTAAAAATTCTCTACATAAATTCATGTGATGGAAATATGAATTAAGAAAACCTATTAACCTATTTTTATATGCTTGTCTGCTAATAATAGCAGTTCGGAGAAGAGGAAAGTGTCTTGCAGGAGGAGAAATCTTTGAAATATGCAGTTTTTCTCCTTGACAGTTCATTTAAATCTTCAAAGTGAAGATTGCCATAATGAAAAATAATGGAAGATTCAGATCTCCATCTTTCATCTTGATGGAAACATACAGATAATATGTATCTTCTGTAACACTGTCTTAATGGATTTGTATGATGTCCATTACAAAATTAGAGTTTGAATATTCCAGCATTTGCCACATAAATGATTCCACTCAACATAGACATAAACATATTCCAAATTATCAGAGATTTACTGATGTCAATAATTTCTGCCTCCTTACTTAAATCCCTTCCATTTTTGTCAGACTTCATGCCTTTTAGTTTGTGTACACCCACCACCCTTTCCTGTGAACAAAAAAACCAACGTTTAGGGCAAGAAAGATACTGAAAGTATCTAATTCATTGTTGCTCTTCCCTGCACATTTGCTTTATAGAGTTCTAGAAGCCCTCTATGTCATACTGTTTGGAAAGCTGCATTTAAATGTCTCTTTGTAAATTCTAAGCAGGATTTAGTCATCCTACTAAACCATAAACTCCTGTCCTAGTAAATTGTGAAGCCAGATGTAACCTTAGGAAATGTTGTATTCTCCTTTTTCATTAAAATTGCACTAGAAGAAACCTTACAAATCTTTTTTCTGATTTCAGAAATGTTTAAGTTATTTAATGTATTTAATCTGTGGGTTCTATGAATACTTGAGATAGTTACATTTTCCTTTTTTTAAAAAAAAAGATTTATTTTATTTATTTGAAATACAGTGCTACAGAGAGAGGTAGAGACAGAGAGAGAGGTCCTTCATCCGCTGGTTCACTCCCCAGATGGCCACAACGGCCGGAGCTGCGCCGATTCGAAGCCAGGAGCCAGGAGCCTCCTCTGGTTCTCCCACGTGGGTGCAGGGGCCCAAGGACTCGGGCCATCTTCTATTGCTTTCTCAGGCCACAGCCGAGAGCTGAATCAGAAGAGGAACAGCCGGGACTAGAACTGCATATGGGATGCCGGCGCCTCAGGCCAGGGCTTTAACCTGCTGCGCCACAGCGCCAGCCCCAATAGTTATATTTTCTAAAGTGGTTCATCATGGGATTCATAGGAATGTTATTTTGAGACTTGAAAATTAAGAGTAAATGTTTCCAAACATATTGCCACTCCATTTAATTAAAAAAATGTTGATTTCCCACCAAAAAAATTATCTGATTGCAAACTTGAGCTTTATAAGAAATATTCTAAAAATGAATCATTTGCAACCTTAAAAAATAGACGAGGGAAGTAGGATGAGTGGAGAATTCAGAGAAAGGGAAAGGTAAGGCACAATCTTTTGTTTCATGGGCTAATATTTTTTAAATGGCTTGTTGACAATCATGAGCATAAAAAATGTTCAACTAAGGAGTTGGTTATAAACAACACTTGTGAAGTTTCCTAGTAACAGCAGTAAGGCTAATGTGTGAAATCCTCATTATAGAGAAGTGGCTGACAAAATAAAAGGGGAAATCATAATTTGCAAAGTTGAACTTGAAGACTACTACTTAATATGAGCCATTAAAAATCTTATCACTTGCCTGAGGAAAAGCATATTGGGTTATAATTATATCAGCCGGATCTTTATAGTTAATGTTTAGCCTTGATAACACATTTCATAAGAGCATTTTATATAATGGATGGATTTTAATCAAGGTACATAGTGTGGGAGATAGTGTTCACTTTAAGTTAATAAAGTGCTGCACATAATTTTTGTACTTTAGGCTAAAAATAATTTCTTGGCGCTGTTTAGTTCAGGCAGCTACATGTGAGGTATAACTTTCATCGAAATTCTCCAAGGACACAAGTACATCTTTTATTATTTGGTCATTTGAAAGTCATGGCAACTTTTCAGTTTTTTTAAAGGTCTGGAGAGCAATTAAATTTCTCAGGGTATCTTCAAAATCTCCTTTGTAAATATCTAATAGTTACCCCCAAAAACCCATGCAAAGTTATGTTATATTGAGGCCACCTGAAAGACAAACATTTGCTGTGGAGTGTTAGCTAGATCTTAAATGTCTTAAGGTCAAGGCCCTTGTCTTATATTGTTGATATCCACATAGTTTGGCCTAAAACTTTTTAACATATAATAGGTGTTAGTATGAAAATATTGCTTTATTACAGAACATAGTGTTTCATTTCTTCATTGGCTACTGATACACTCCTTTTAAAACATGAAGGCTAAAATTAGTGATCTATTTACATCAATTTTAATTTCTTTCTTTTTTAAAGATTTATTTATTTATTTATTTGAGAGACAAAGTTAGAGCAATAGAGGGAGAGACGCAAAGAGAACGAGATCTTCCGTCTGCTGGTTTACTTCCCAAATGGACTCCATGTCTGGGGCTGGGCCAGGCTGAAGCCAGGAGACTGAACTCCATCTTGGTCTCTCATGTGGGTTCAGGGACCCAAGGGCTTGGGCCATCTCCTGCAGCTTTCCCAAGTGCATTAGCATGGAGCTAGGTAGGAAGTGGAGCAATCAGAACTCAAACTGGTGCTCAAATGGGATTCTGGTGTCACTGCAAGTGGCAGCTAAACCTGCTGAGCCACAATACCAGTCCCACAATTTCTTTTTGTTGTTGTTGTTGTTGTTTTAATATTTATCTATTTATTTGGAAGGTAGAGTCACAGAGAGAGGGGGGTGGAGAGAAAGAGAAAGAGAGATCTTCCATCCGCTGGTTCACTACCCAAATGACCACAATGGCTACAGCCGAGCCTCACTGAAGTCAGGAGCTAGGAGCTTCTTCCAGGTCTTCCATGTGGGTACAGAGCCCCAAGCATTTGGGCCATCTTCCACTGCCTTAGCAGGCATATTAGCAGGGAGCTGGATAGGAAAAGGAACAGCAAGGACTTGAACTGGTGCCTATATGGGAAGCCGGTGCTGCAGGTGGCAATTTTATCCACCCCTTCCCATAACTGCTTTCCAAGTTATCCCCGCAAATCAACCACCTCTGAATAACATGGCTCCAAAACGATGATCTTTTTTCTACTATCATTTAACAGGAGAAATATATCCCCAGAGAAGAGAATGAAAGCACATTATGAGCACATTTCCATAGCTCAAGGATATATTATAAGTGATAATGGATGTGGCAAGAGAGTGGAGGGCATGAGAGAGGTGAAGAAGTGGGCAAGGAGGGTGGAATCAAGGGCTTTAGGCAGATGTTATGTTTAGCTGGAGGGCAATGATAAGGCATCCAAAGTTCTTCATCAGGAAAAGATTAATGAGCAGCATTGCACTGTAATCTGGCTGCAGCATAGATTAGATTTAGGATAGACTGTAGTTGGACGAGACAGGAAGAGGGAAGACAGACTAGGAAATCAAGTAATTCTTGAGACAGTGAATGAGAGTGTGAACTAGGGTAGGAGCAGACAGGAGATAAGAGAAGCTATTGCGGGGAAGGTACATCACTTGGCCTCTGCCATCAGTAGGCTGTAAAACACTTTGTAAAGAAAGGAGGTATCTAAAATAAATAGAAAATGTTCACTTTTGATGACCAAGGCACTTTAGCTGCCATTAGCAGAAATAACAAAGTCAAGACAGTTATGGCTTAGTGGAGAAAATGAGTTTGCTGTTTGACACTTAAATTTAAAATGTTTTGTGAGACCTCTAAATGGAGAAAGTTCTCAAGTTAATGCAGGTGTAAGAGTACACATTAAAAACTATAATTCATGTATTGATGAAACTAGAGCACTTTAATAAATTAAGGTGATCATTTATTCATTGATCATTGATGTTCACTCGTCACATTTTCTGAGCACTGATTGTGTTCCAGGCAGTGTTCGAGTTTTAGATTCTGGAGATAATGACCTGAACAAGGTGCCAGATTGGCCAAAAAACAGACAAATAAATGCAGTTACAGACACTGAGATCTCTGCTCCCAAAGGGCTAATATTTGAGGTGCTGGGGTGGGAGTTGGGCAGAATAGTAAGGAAGGACTCCAGCCTAAACACAGAAATCGAGATATTGTAAGGTAGCCATAGGTACCCAGATGAAAATAAAATGATTACGTGCCTCCAATTGAGTGGCTGTTTCTTTAAGATGCTATCATAGATGACACAGTTTTTTAGAGAAAATATTAAAATTGATGGTTGTATTATTGAATACCTGTTTTTTCCAAATATTTATAGGGGGAAAATGGCCTTTTAAATTAAGATTATAAATTTCCCTGTTTTAAACACCTGACAACAAGAAAACAATCTTAAAAGAGATTGTAAAGTGATTTTGATGAATAAATCATAGATAATGATGCTACTCAGGATCATCTGTTTGTTGTTATCAATAATAAAAGACCCACATTTGTTTCTATTTTGGGATATGCCCAAGTGAAAATGACACACTGGAAAAACAGCTTAGCAAGCAAGAAGGCAACACCAGAACTGTTATGAAATCATGCCACAAATAATCTTTGACTGTCTTCTCTCCTTGTAGTCTTCCCGGCTGGCATTCTGCAGCCCCCATTCTTTAGTGCCCAACAGTCCAACTCATTGAATTATGGGGGCATCGGCATGGTCATAGGACATGAAATCACTCACGGCTTCGATGATAACGGTAAAATGCACTTGACATTATCCATTGATTGAGATATAGAATTCATAACTTTCATGAGTTATTATAATTTATTAATAAAATTTCATTTTTAATATATCATCAATCTAATGTTCAGACTTCATGTATTTCCTGTTTTTTTTTTAAATGTATTTATTTATTTGAGTGACAGAGACCTCCCATCTGCTGTTTCACTCCCTAAGTGCCCACAATGGCTGGGCTGGGCTGAGGCCACAGCCAGGAGCCAGGAACACAATCCAGGTTTTCCATGTAGGTGAAAGAACCCCAATTACCTGAACTATCACCACTGTTTGCCAGGGTCTGCATTATCAGGAAGCTGTAGTCAGAAACTAGAACCAGAAATCAAACCCTCACACTCTGATGTGGGATGCAGACATCTTAACTGCTAAACACCCACCCTCTCAGTGTTCTCTTCAAACTGTGTTTCACAAGATTTCTAAGAATCAGGTAAGCTATCTGTTTTATACTCATACATAAAGCCAATATTCACACTGAAAAAATACTGTGACATTTGTCAACATCAGAAATAATGCTTGGCCTTATTTCATGATTGTATATGTGCTGTCTCACTGGACTCATAGAGGGCAGGGGCTGTGTCTTAAAATTAGAAGAAAAATCAGTAGTAGTACTTATCTAAGTACCTATAAGACTCATGAGATGGTTGAAGTCAGAAACTTCTGTTTTCCCATCTTAACTTAATACACAACATTGCAAACAGTAGGCAATTAAATGTTTATACATGTCCCAAACTGTCAAAGTGAATTTAGAGTTTCAATGGAAGTTGAGAGAAATAGGTAAGATGTAGAAAGAGGTGATAATGGAAGTTATGACAAAGATTAATGCATAAGGATAAGGAAAGAAGGAAGAGAGCAACAGTGAGAAAATAGTTTAGTTGAGTATTAACTAGAACCAACTTTAGGGAGTGAGAGAAAGAAAAAGAATCAGGAAGGGTACACTATTTAAGAAGATTTAGTAAGTGTCTATTAAACTCTTAAACTATGCAACAGTGTTAACATATAGGTATTCATACTATTTGAATTTTCCAAATTGGAAATAAAAAAAAAATAGCTTGAAGTTACAAAGCTAGGAATTTGTGCAGCTAGTATGTAAGTCCAAGTAAGTTGACTTCATAGCCTTTTCTATTCACTACATCATAGATAAATATGATGAAAAAAGTATCAGCACCCATGACATTTGTTAATGTGATTAGAGCTGCACCTATGACATTTGTTAATGTGGTTAGAGCTTAAAAAGAGGAGAGCTCCATGTTGGTTAGAATTTGTCGGAAAGCCAAGAGAAAAAAAAAATTTTGTACCTGAAGTAAAGGAAAATTACTGCTGTATTTCCTGAAGAGCCTGGGGATATGAATATCAAGATACTTGATATCAATAATATCAAGATAAAAATGGATAAACTTGGCCAGCGCCACGGCTCACTAGGCTAATCCTCCACCTTGCGGCGCCGGCACACCGGGTTCTAGTCCTGGTCCGGGCGCCGGATTCTGTCCCAGTTGCCCCTCTTCCAGGCCAGCTCTCTGCTGTGGCCAGGGAGTGCAGTGGAGGATGGCCCAAGTGCTTGGGCCCTGCACCTGCATGGGAGACCAGGATAAGTACCTGGCTCCTGCCATCGGATCAGTGCGGTGCGCCGGCCGCAGCACGCCGGCCGCAGCGGCCATTGGAGGGTGAACCAATGGCAAAAGGAAGACCTTTCTCTCTGTCTCTCTCTCTCACTGTCCACTCTGCCTGTCAAAAAAAAAAATGGATAAACTTTTTGAAATCACAAAAAATATCAAATTAAACACACTTGGTTCAGGTGAAAACCATCCAATAGAACAAGACATTATTTTATGAGTGTTTAATCTGATGTCCTCATCTGAGACATCAAAAACCAAGTGAGTAATCAGGATCAATACTAAGGTACATCAGCAAAGAAATCTCTGGCAGCCCAGCCTATAGGTTACTAACTCTGTGGATGAGGAAAGATAAGAGCTTCTGTTATAATCTGTTCAATTGAATGTTCCCACTCACATCAATTTTGGTTCTTGCCTTGAATAAAATATATATTATTGTAGATCTTATAGTAGTGAGTATTCATCTTACTTAAATAAATATTTTACAGGCAGAAATTTTAATAAAGATGGAGACCTTGTTGACTGGTGGACTCAACAGTCTGCAAATAATTTTAAAGAACAGTCCCAGTGCATGGTGTACCAGTATGGAAACTTCTCCTGGGATCTAGCAGGTGGACAACACGTATGTCATTAGCATTTTCTTGAAAAGTTTAAAGTATGTTCAATCTTAGGTGAATTATGCTAAAAAAAATGTCTTATTTTAAACAGCTCAACGGAATTAACACACTGGGAGAAAACATTGCTGATAATGGAGGCATTGGCCAAGCATACAGAGTAGGTGATATTGTCTTCCCATTTTTGTGACTGGGTTGTGTATTATATTTTGTAAAAGGTGCATTTATTATAAATAATAAATGATGAATGGAAAATGAAAAATATGTGATGAGAAAGAAGATTGTAAATATAATAGTGGGTGTGATGGACCAGAACATCAGTCTCTTAAGTTTCAAAAAACTAAAGAAGAAGAAACCTGGAATTCTTTTTCTAATAGAAGCAATATTTTTCTAAGAAATAATCTCAGAAATGGCTTTTCTAGAAAAGATGTCCCGTTTTGAGATTCAGTGATTATTTCTAGCCCTTTTCTTTTCTGTTGAGAAACTGTATTTTTTTCTTCATATTATTTGTTGAACTCTTTACTTAGCATAGGGCTAATCTTATGAGTATTAAGTAAACTGAAAATAGATCTTTGTAAAAATTAAGAGTTGGGATAGGAGAAGATGGAGGAAGAAGGGTTGGAGCATAGGCAGGAGGGCGGATAGGGTAGGACATACCATTATGTTTCTAATTCTGTATTTATGAAACACATGAAACTTGTATAACTTAAAAAAAATAGAAAAGTTGTCACATGAGAAGGATTACTTCTGGGTGATCGATCAATATGATGAATAGGAAAACTCTTAGTTTTGCAGCAAACAAAGCAGCATATGGGGCCAATAGTAGCATACACCTTGGGCATGATATTGAACCCCCGTCCATGTTCAGTGATTTAGTGAGACACTGAAGAGATATGGTTCCAGCATATGCATTGTAATCAACCAAACTGTTATACCCCCAGAAGTTACCAGTGGAGCATCCCTTAGACTGTCATTTAACTTCCCATTCATTCTTGCCTTCAACAGAGCAGTTTACACTGCATTTTTGCATTATTCTTAGGTGCTAACACTGCAGCAATGAGCCTTCTATAAAAGAACTCATTATTTGATTTTGTGAGCAAGGATTAAAGATCGTGTATGTCACATACCCAAGAAAAAGTAGAGATTCTTACATAAGGTTGGAGGAATAATGGTCTTGCATGCAATAAGGAGTGAGGATGATTTTGAATACTTTCAATCCTAAAGTAGCTCACATGCAGGAAAATGAGCAGAGTGACCTTGAAATTGGTACAAAGGAGGGGTTCCCTAGGAGGAGCGAGGCTTCTGTAAGACAAGGATGGCTAGATGTTTGTGGAGTAGATGACGATGCAGGGTTATCTGTTGACCACAGAAATGTCTGGGTTAGAGAGAAGGAGAACATCAGTAGTTGGACCAGGAAGAGGAAGCACCAGAGCAAGACCAGGAGAGGTGATTGGCAGGGCCTGCAATTTGGCGGACTAAGGGTGATCTTTATGCAAGGCTTGGGAGATTAAGCCAGCTACAAGGTTTCTGAAAGAGTGAGTCCTAACCCAGTCCAGGGGATGGTAGATTGTGGATACTTAGCTGGATAGCTTTCTTTCTTTATTGTATGCTTTTTACCTCTTTGCATGCTGGTATTATTTTATTTTAAAATTTTATTTGTTTATTTGAGAGACACACAGTCAGAGAAATCTCCCACCCATTAGTTCACTCCCCAAATGCCTCCAACAGTCAAGGCTGTGCCAGGTCAAAGTCAGGAACCAGGTACTCAATCCAGGTCTGTCACTCGGTTGTAGGGACCTAATTGTTTGACCTAATTATCTGCTGTCTCCCAGGATCTCCCTCAGTAGAAAGCTGGAATTGGGAGCCACAGCCAGGAATCAAACTCAGGCACTCTGATATAAAATGCAGTGCATTCCCAGCAAATTAACCAGTAGGCCAAATGTCTGCCACTGGATATTCTTTGTGTTCCTAAAAATACTCTCGATCTTTATTCCAAAATACCGGTAAATTCCTTAGAAATAGTTTGATATTCTTTTGGTCTTTGCTTTTGTAACTTGTTATATGGGACTGGGACAGTGCAGTCTCTGGAAGATTAGTCCCCACAGCTGCAGCAAGACTCTACTGTAGCAAGACTCTGCTGTATGAATCTGGAAGTTTTCCAGTCTTGTCCTGTGTGAGTCCTGAGCATTTTTATCTGTTGGTTAGGGTGTGGCTTGCTCACACACCCATCACACACTTAAGATCCATACTAAGCTGAATACTTGAGAGTACCCATCACTGACCTCGGAAGTTCTCTTTTTGAGCAGATTTTTTTCCTGTACAGTACCCTGTCCTTGGATCCCTGAATGCTCACCTTCTTGTCCTCGACTCAGGGGGTCCCAACTGGGTTTCTGCTTCCCACATTGTAGCATGAAAACTCAAGGTGATAAGCAGGGGCAATCATAGGACTGTCTTTGTTGATGGTCTTCCAGGGATCATTCTCCTTTTTGTCTGGATGTTCTGTGTAATGTGAATCACTGTTTGGTATATTTTGCCCATTGGTTGGTTGTTTCAGTAGCATGTTAAATACAGTCCCTGCCATTCTGTTTTAGCTGGGAGTTGAAGGCATTGACACTTTTAATATTCTCAAGATGATTCTATTATACAGCCAGATTAAGAAACACTCCTGTAAAACTCCAGCCTAAAAAATGTGGGCTGATGCTATTTCCATGGAGATCTTCACCTAGGGCAAGTAAAGCATGGTAATAATACAAATTGCAATTGTAGAAATATTTCATTGCACCTTTAAAATATGTGAATTCTGAGCAGTAATGCCTTGCCCTCCTGCTAGTTTAGGAGATCCCGAAGATGGAGCAGACACATGCCTTCCCCACACCCCCAGCATTTTTACAAAGTAGAGGCTTGGTGCATCTATGTTGATGGTGACTTATCTAATTGATCATCTTATGTTGTATTAAATTGGGAGTGAAAAACTGCAAAAGTTTTGTGAATCCCTCTTTAAATGTAGTTAAGTGAAGAAAAGTATATTTTTTTCAATCATGTCCATAAGTCCTTAAAGATTTTTTTTATTTTTTATTTTTTGACAGGCAGAAAGGACAGTGAGAGAGAGAGAGACAGAGAGAAAGGTCTTCCTTTCCCGTTTGTTCACCCTACAATGGCCGCCGTGGCCAATGCGCTGCTGCCGGCGCACTGCGCTGATCCAATGGCAGGAGCCAGGTACTTATCCTGGTCTCCCATGGGGTGCAGGGCCCAAGCACTTGGGCCATCCTCCACTGCACTCCCTGGCCACAGCAGAGAGCTGGCCTGGAAGAGGGGCAACCGGGACAGAATCCGGCGCCCGGACTGGGACTAGAACCCGGTGTGCCAGCGCCGCAAGGCGGAGGATTAACCTAGTGAGACGCGGCGCCGGCCTAAATATGTACTGGCCCATACGGGGATCGAACCCGCGACCTTGGTGTTATTAGCACCATGCTCTAACCAACTGAGCTAACCGGCCACAGTCCTTAAGGATTAAGAATATTTTCTGACATTCAATTTACTTAAATTCCTACATTTTAGTGTAATTGGGGTTCAATCTACTTTGTCCTGTCTTCAAGAGACCAAAATAGTTTCTTACCCTTATCCTTAGGCTCTTGGGATACTAGTCCTGTAAGGAATCTCAAGAGAATCCCTTGACTCTTGGCAAGGATCACTCAAACCTTAAGTCTGGTGTGAGTGTATTTTGCTAAGAGTAGTAATCAAGCTAAATATAGCAACTTCTAATTCTCCCAGCAATCCATCTGTCCAACTGGCTGAACTTATCCTGCTATCTGTAGAAAACCTTTAGATAAGTTTTTGTCACTTATTTAAGTCATTAATTCATTCAACTAATATTTATTGATCATCTGACATGTGCCAGTCTCTTAACATCTGCTGGGCAGTGTCCTGTTCCTTTCAGAGCACTTTTAAATAATCTGTGATAGTAGTAGGTTAACATGAATATATTGGTATAATTAGTTTGATATAAAAGATTAATTACTTGGTTATATGGTCTTTTACAAAGGTTTATATTGAAATTTAGAAATTATAAACATTATGTTTCTATTTCATTTACTGCCTAGGCCTATCAGAATTATGTTAAAAAGAATGGAGAAGAAAAATTACTTCCTGGAATTGACCTCAATCACAAACAACTATTCTTCTTGAACTTTGCCCAGGTATCACATCTTTCTTCACTGATAATTATGGAAATCATTTTGAGTTATAATTTCACAGTAAGTTAGAGATTGCATGCTGAGTTTTCTTGTCTTAATCGAATATGGCAGAGCATTTGACTTGACTGACTTTCATTGTTAATAATAGATTGTCGGTTCATATTAATGATAAGCAATTATGTTTCTGGTTACCCATTATTGAGCATTATTTGAAGAGTCCACGGTCAATGTGTACAGAATTCTAGGTTTTTCCCCTACTCTTCCCAAACAATCTTTGAATCTGAACACAGTGCTTTGCTTTTTCTCTCCCTACCCCTAGGTATGGTGTGGGACCTACAGGCCAGAGTATGCAGTCAATTCCATTAAAACAGATGTGCACAGTCCAGGCAATTTCAGGTACGTGAGTAAGAACAGCAGCTGGAGTGCTCCAACATTGGCTCCATTGCTTTACCATTTGAGATTGGCCTTTTCTAACTCTGACTCTGCAACATGGGGAGATGCAATATTTTTGTTTGTTTGTTTAGTGTTTGAGGGTCACAGAGAGGCTCACTGAAGCACATCAGGATGTTTGTTGAAGCGGCCTTGGCTGCTCTATTCCCCACAATACATGTGTCTCAGGCTCAGTGCTTAATGGACTCCCAACAAAGACGTTGCTTCAGAACAGTGGCTCTATTTAAAGCTGACATGAGACATGTCTACGAGGCTATGAATGGTTTAGGCCTAGACCCAGGAGTTTCAAATTGTCAACAAAGATTTCCATTCAATACGAAGGGAAACCTATTAATTAGAGGTTCTACAAGATCAAATTGCATTATCCACAAAGCTCTAGCAGAAAGTACAATGAAGAAGATATTGGAAAACAGCTTGTTAAAAAAGCCAGAGAAAAATGTTCTACAGAGTGAAGGATAGAGTTAGAAGATACCTATGGTTCCCAACAGAGAAAATCTGAGAACGGTGGGTTGAAAATGAATCACTTTAACCAACCTCTGAATGTTAAGTCCTAAATCTATGTGTATCTGCGTGTTTTAGAACTGAATTCCTAAAATTATCTTTTCTCCATGTACTGTAACATTTAGTCACTCATTGATTGGAAACACCTCTCAGGCAAGAATGTCTGAAAAAAAAATGTAGGGTGATTGCAAAACGGAGTTTGAGATCCAGAGACAACTAATGGGCTAAATTTGAAAGCTCTACCTAAAATGGATGTGAGCTCACCGCCTACATCATTCATTCCTAGAGAAAATCATTCAATTATGAAATAAAAATGTAGTACATTTATAAATGGAAGAATGTGCTGTTTGTTCTAGTGTCCTTATTGTCATTGTTATCATCGCCACCTAGAATTTCCCTTAACAGTTCTTTCAAAATTGATTCACTTAACCACTGATTATTTTACGCCTGTTATCTGTGTAATCCAAGCTAAATTAAGTCCTGCTAAGATTATCCAACTTAATTGCTTTTCATGAAATGAGCAATAAAAGCCACTGGATCAATTCCCATTATGATTTGTTGAAGAAACTTTCAGTTTTAACTTTTAAAACTTGTCTTTTTCCTCACTGAAGTTCCAAAGTTAAAGTATAAGAATTAAATTCTGGGGATAATAGAAAGCATCTGTAAACTCACACAAACCACCATAAACTCTAATTTGTCAAAAAGCTTTGCCTTTTATATCCATATGAACTGAAATATGTATTCATAAAACCTAGGTGAATTTAAGTAATATTATTGTAATAACTTATACAACTCGATCCTTGGAGAATGAGAGGTTGCAAAATTGTTTGATAGGTAAAGTTTGTCTGTTTTTGAGTGCTAGCTTTTTTATTTTAACCACTGGATTAAAACTTCTCTGTTTGCCCTCCTCTCTTAACCCAATATTCTTAAATAAAACCTAGCCCCTTTTTTCTGATCATACAGACTATTGTTAAGGTCATTACTTATGATTTTGCCATTTATTTTTCATTGAAATCACTAAAAGCTGCAATGTGTAGAATTATTTATTCCCTCATCAATGGTAATACGTTTTGACTTCTCACTTTGACTTTTCATTCTGGTATTTCTGTATGGTTGTCTCTACCATATTTCTTTTTCCTTTTACTGTATTGCCTGCTGGAAGCTAACTCATTCCTCCATTTGGATCAGCTCAGAAAACATATTGTTACCCTTATATGATAAAAGACACTTTGAAGTTAGAAACACTTAAGTTCCAACCATGGCTCCACCATTTACTAGCTATGGCTTAACCTCTATGACTCAGTTTCTTGATATGTAAAATGAGAATAAAGTTATAAGAGTTGCTAGAGGGTTAATGTTAAGGCAAATGGAGTGCAGAATTTCCAAAAGTTAGTAGAAAAATTTAATTAAAAGGTAACTTATTTTAGTGCAGATAATTTTTGAAATCTATGTACAGTTTTTATAACACATTTCCATGAACTTTTTGAAGACCCCTCATAGTATGATCTCAAATTTTTTTTGCACTAAAATAATCCCAACTTTCTGTTTTTTAAGATTTTACTTATTTATTTGAAAGACAGAATTACAGACAGAGAGAGGGAGAGACAGAGTAAAGGTTTTTCATCTGTTGGTTCACTCTCCAAATGGCTGCAATGGCTGGAGCTGGACTGACCCGAAGCCAGGAGCCAGAACTTCCTCCAGGTCTGCCGCGTGGGTGCAGGGTCCCAAGGACTTGGGCCATCCTCCACTGCTTTCCTAGGCTATAAACAGAGAGCTGGATAACAAGAGGACAATCGGGACACAAAACGGCACCCATATGGGATGCCAGGGCCACAGGCGGAATCTTAGCCAACTCTCCACAGCACTGGCCCCAGTAATCCCAACTTTAAAAAAATTCATTTACTTATTTAATATGTTTATATTTTTGAGAGACAGACATACAGAGCTCTCATCCTCTGGTTTACTCCCTAAGTGCTCTCCACACCAGGGATGGACCAAGCTGAAGCTGTGAGCCAGGAACTCAATCTAGGTCTCCCGCGTGGGTGTCAGGGACTCAACTACTTGAACCATCACTTCCCACTACTTGAACCAGCTACTTCTCAGAGTGTGCATTAGCCATGAACCTGCAATCAGGATCCCAGCATGAATGCTAGTCCAGGGAGTCTATTATGGGATGTGGGTGTCACAGTGTCATCTTGAATGCTGAACCAAATGCCTACCACAAACCTAACTTTTAGTTCTATTTTCAGTAAACCTTTTGAAATGCCCTGTATATGTGTTTGGAAATCAGTACTAGGGTTTTTTTTTATATAATATGTATGAACAGAATAAGAATTCCTGTGAAAAAGGTTTATGTACTTTGCAACATTTCCCTGTTACCTAATAATCATAGGCATTTTATAGTTCATTTCTTTTATTCTGCATAGTCCAGAATATTAATAAATGACTTCTAGTTGCCAGATATGTAGGATTGGGCTGGTGTTCTGGCGCAGAAGATTTAACTATTGCCCCCAACACCAACATTTCATGTCAGAGCACTCATTCGACTTCCAGCTGCTCCACTTCCAAGCCAACTCCTTGCTAATGTGCCTGGGAGAGCAATGGGAGGTAGCTTAAGCACTTGGACCCTTGCCACTCATGTGGGAGACAGAGATCTGGTTCCTGGTTTCATCCTGGCCCATCCCTGGCCATTGTAGTCATTTAGAGAGTGATATAGGGATAGGAAATCTCTTTCTCTATATATATTTCCCTCTCTATGTCACAGTGCCTTTCAAGTAAATATAATAAATCTGTTTAAAAAGCCAGAGTTATTAATGTATTCCTTTGTTACCCACAATTTTAAACCAAAAACAATATTTTTACATAAATACAATTGTTTACATAAATACAAATGTAAAATTATTTGTATCATTAATTTTCTTTTGTCCTGGTTCTAAAGATGCCGCTTGACTATTTTTCATTCATAATAAGAAAAGTTATGAATGTTTTTTAAGGGTAAATGGAATGTCAACCTTTTGTCAAGGAAATTACTATTTTCTCTGGAGGTAAAGGGATTTCCTTGGCAAAAGGTTGAAGTTACATTTAGTTTTGGAAACAGGCTGCTTCCTGGCTGTACAAAATAAAACATACTTTTAAAGGAGCTTTAAAAACTAATAGACATTGAGTTACTGTTGAAAAATTGGGCTTGACGTTTTGTGTAGAAATATTTCTGAAATAGAAGAAAATTTATAACCTATACTTAGCCACAGTATTTTTTTTAAGATTTATTTATTTACTTGAAAGTCAGAGTTACACAGAAAAAGGAGAGGCAGAGAGAGAAAAAAAGAGAGAGGTCTTCCATCTGCTGGTTCACTCCCCGATTGGCTGCAATGGCTAGAGCTGAGCCAATCTGAAGCCAGGAACCAGGAGCTTCTTCTGGGTCTCCCACATGGGTGCAGGGGTCCAAGGACTTGGGCCATCTTCTACTGCTTTCCCAAGCCATAGCAGAGAGCTGGATCGGAAGTGGAGAAGCCGGGACTCGAACCGACACCTATATGGGATGCCGGCACTGCAGGCAACAGTTTTACCCACTATGCCACAGCACCAGCCCCTTAGCCACAATATCAAAACAAGGCAATATATACTTGACATAAAGCTAAATCTGTAAAACCGTATTTATATCTAACTGATAGTTGCTGTATTCCTCATAACTAAAGTTTCATGTACTTTAAAATGAATTTTTGAAATCTGTACTACACAAAACAAACAAAATATGGAATATTCTAGAAATTGGACCCATAATTTAAATGTTAACTTCTTTTATAGAAATCCAGTTTTGGCCAACCATCCACAGCCTCTATGATATATAAAGGTTTGATACATTTTTAAAGCAAGTTATAAAAAAACCAAATTATTTTGATTTTCTGAGAAGTAGAGGGGGCATTTTATAGAACTACTGCCATTATCATGGCAAGAGATGTTTCTCATGGCTAAATTTGCAATACATTTGAAAGAATATTCTTTGTGGTGTTATGTAGGCATTTTCAACTAAATGACTATTTGGTTCCCTTTTATTGTGTAAATTAGTATGCTTAGGCTAAACCCTGGAAATACTAATATTTCTTCCATTTACCTTAAATGTGAACATTGTCTCCTGATACTTTATATGAATACCAGATGGGAGTTTGGTGAGCTTTGTACATTCCCTGTTAATACCTATTAATCTTTAATGCAGACCTGGAAATTTAATCAAGCATTTATTTCTTTATGAGTGGATAGTGGGACATTCACTTAATAATGTGACTTTGCTTTGAAAGAGCATAAAAAGTAGTTCATAATAAAGATTGGAGGAGGGTTTCATGACAAAGACAGTTAACCTTATATCCAAGCCATTAATTCAGAAGAAATAATAAAATGTTGTCAGATGACTCCATCATTGAAAAAAGCTACTTCAATAGCTCAAAAATACAGTAAATTGCAAACAGGAGTAGTCAGGTATAGTATAGGGTATAAAATCAATTCTTGGCCACATGATATTCAGCTTCATGTCTCTCAGGAGTCTTTAATATAAGTGGTTATTTGCTAAGAGAATAAATAGCAGCAGCCCAAAAAAGTATTTTGTGTAGTGCAGTTCAAAATTCATGTAAATAAGCTTGATAAATAATCAATGGAAGTCTGTTATTCTCTATTATTAGACGTGCAAACACAAGAACTACACCGTTTTCATATAGCTTGGGGATCATGTAAGTGTTCTGTTCTATTAGTGAAATATGATCTCACTCAGGGAAGGGATTAATTTTATTAAAATAAATTCACTTTTCAAAATAGATGATTCATATCATCCATCCAAAGAGTTGATGTTATAAACATGAGACATTAATCAGAGTTTTAGGAAAGTAAGTGAAGCCCTGGTGTGTAGTTGACCTAATTATTCAGAATCAAATTAGCTCCGTGAAGTCTTTGGATGGAAAGCGAGGAGATGGGATGGAGCGCTCAGTGCACATTAGGTGGAGTGTTTTCGCACTGCCAACTCCCAGAGGTGTTTTGTATAGACTTTCCTTTCTTTGAGGTGGTTAGCTTTTGGGGGAAGTGGGAATGGGGAGGATTTGAGTAATGTTTGTTTGTTTTTATTTGCTTTAATGTTTTTAGAGAAATACAAAGATTTTATTGAAGCACATATTTCTATAAAATTAAATCTAAGAAACAATCCTTTGAAAAAATTTAATAAAATAAAAACAAAAAAAGTGCAATTGTTTCAGTCAGTGACTTTCAAATGCTTATCCCATCAAGGAGGGAGCTGAATGCGTAGGCCACCATGACAGCTAACCCTTAGCCAGCGTCTAGTGCTTCCTCAATTGGGACGAGGATTGGATTAAATGCAACTTTATGATTCCTCCAGGAGTCCTAAAAATCAAACAACTGAGAACATTTTCACCCTCCCCAAAGTCTAGAGGAGTTGTGGTGTAGGGGGTTGGAGGGCTAGTTGATGTGTTGATGAGTGTCATATTAGAAAGTCACACTTTCAGAAAGTCCACATGGGTCTGTCTTTCCTGAAATGAGGAGAGGACAAGGAAATGCTTCCTTTCATGTCTAGTTAGAACATAGCAGCAAATAAACAACAAATTACTAAACAGTGCCTTGTTACTCCGATATAGGTTATCACCATGACCAGGTTATAAGTCCATTCATTCAATAGGTGCTGTGATGCAAACCACTGTCATAGGCTTTGGGGTTGCTACAGGGAGCGAGGTAATCACCATACCTTGCCTGGTAGCAATTACACTTTAGTGGGTGTGTCAGGGAGCAAAGAAGGCAAAAAAAAAAATCATCACAGATTATAGTTAAGTGATTTTTTTTAAAGATTGTATTTATTTATTTACTTGAGAGGTAGAGTTCCAGAGGGAGAGACAGAGAGAAAGGACTTCCATCTGCTGGTTCATTCCCCAAATGGCCGCAATGGCTGGAGCTGAGCCAATCCAAAACCAGGAGCCAGGAGCTTCTTCTGAATCTCCCATGTGGGTGCAGGGGCCCAAGCACTTGGGCTGTCTTCTACTGCTTTCCCAGACCGTGAGCAGAGAGAGAGACTGGAAAAAGAGCAGCTGGGACATGAACCGGTGCCTATATGGGATGCCAGTGCCATATTACTCCATAGCACTGGCCCCTGTAATAAGTGCTTTGATAGGGATAGTAAAAGTGGGAGCAATAAGTTTAGGTAGTGTCAAAGGAAGCTGAAAAGGAGGTGTTTTTTCAAGACTCATTCATTCATTCATATATTTGTAAAGCAGAAAAGAGGGATCTTTCATCCGCTGGTTCACTCTCCCAGTTGGCTGCAATAGCCAGGTCTGGGCCAGGCCAAACACAGGAACTTCATGTGGATCTCTCCTGTGAATAGCAGAGGACCAAGCACTTGGGCCATCATCCAGCACTTCCTAGGCACATTAGCTGGAAGTTGAATGAGAAGCAAAGTGGCTGGGACTTGAACATGCACACTTAGCACTTTGATATGGGATGCCTACATGGCAAGCAATGGCTTAACCAGAGCACCCCATGCTGGCCTTGGATGATGTTTAAGCAGAGACATGAAGGATGAAAAGGGGTTGACCACATAGCACCTGGGGAATAACTTTCCAGGGAGTAAAATCTGCAGGAGCAGCAGACCGTAAAGAGGAAAGAGCTTGGACAGGTTGAGAAATGAAAAGCAAGTCAGTGGACTTTGAGCCCAAGAAGTAATGGAAGCAAATGTGTCCTGAGGAGGCTGCGACAATAGGCTGGGGCCACCAGGGTGCTTAAGGCCATGGAGGAGAGTCTGAATTTCCTTCCAGCCCTTGCATAGGTGTATGGAATCTGATTTAAGTGTTTAAAAATTACTCTGTTGCCTTGAGATTGGTCAGCGGAAGAGGAGTGGTAGGTTGAATTCAGGGCAGTGTACCTGCTGTTTATGGAGATACCCATGAGTCAGGATGACCTCTCCTGTCACTTGTCCCTGCTCTTCCCTCCACTCCTGGCCTCTTGCCTCCGGGCCCCTCTTCGCCAGCTTGGGTGACTGCGGTGCCTTGTCTCAGGAGAAGGAAAGGTGCTGGTCAGGGCTGGTATGGAAACACCACTGCTTCATCCTGTGCTGACCTATCTCCCTTGAAAATCCTGTTTGGTGCTGATAGTGGGCTGGGCAGTGTTGTTTTTGCCCATTGGAGTCAGAGATAAGAAGAAATTGGCATTTGACCAGCCCATTCCAGTTATTCAGGCTGAATCCCATTTCTGATATTGAAGGAATCCTTTTGGAAGAAAATAATAATTTTCTATCTTCTCTACTGAATCGAATCAAATATCTATTTAGTTATTTTGTGAGCCTTTCTAGATGTAGTGCAAAATCATGATTTATTCTTAGAATAACTGTAACTCCACATGTGAATTATTCTTTGACTTTATGAACATGTGCTGAGTGTTTATAAATTATCAGCCCTCCAAGACAACCGTAGATGCAGGTTTAATCTTATTTACATTTTTCAGATGAATAAACTGAGGCACAAAAAGGCCTCATACCCTGGATTCAAACCAAGCAGCTGTCTCCAAAATCTGTCTTCTTGCTTTATACACTTTTTTATCATTTCATTTTAAAATGATGTGAGCTGATTCATTGGATTAGTTGTGGGTATTTCTTTTCCTTTAAAATTTAAATTCCAAATTCACTCACTTGACCTGCATAGAGAAATTCTACCAGGCTGCCATGTGATATGGACATAGTATCATAATGCTGATGGTGACTGTGTTTTTTTTTTTTTATCTATTTCAAAGGATTATTGGATCTTTGCAGAACTCTGTTGAGTTTTCAGAAGCCTTTCAGTGCCCCAAGAACTCATACATGAATCCAGAAAAGAAATGCCGGGTTTGGTGATCTACAGAAGAAGCCGTGCAGCCCCTGGCTAGACCTGCAACATCTCAGAAATGGGGAACCTGCTAGCCTGGAGAAGTGGGCCCTGGGGGTCACCATAGTTACTTAGGGATAATTCACAAAGATGAGGGCATCCGAGTACAAATGAAATTAGGTTATTGCGAAAAGGATGTGGAGGGAGGAGAGGGCCTAAGTTCTGTCAAATCAATCACTTCTCGACTTCTCAAAAGGGGTAATTAATGTTTAATTTCTAAAGATAATATTACCATTCATTTCCATTTCTCATGTTACCTGTCAGTTTGATGTTGTCCCGAGAAAGCAATGTTAACCACTTGAAGAAGACAAAAATTTCTAATCAAAGGAAAAAAGGAGATATTGAATAATATAGTTGGGTACCAAAGTGACATGACAGTTTAAAATACATTGCCTACATACTTGTTTTCACTTTCATTTGCAACATTTATGCTCCCTCAAAACTCTTCCAAAGAATTCTTATACATATGAGGCCTTGGGGCTTAGGTAGTTGTAAATCCACTTTGCCATGCATCAGTTATTCATTCTGCAAACATAGCATTTTTTAAGCACTCTGAGCAAAATGGACATCTCAAATGATTGTTATCCTGATCAGATACTGAAGTTTCTGAAAGCCCCTGTAGATTTCTAAACAATTTCTCCCTCTCCCTCTCTCTCTCTCTCTCATACACACACACACGCACAGACACAACTTGGTCTTTTTAAGAGATTTGTAGTAATGTATAAATAGCTTTTATATTTAATTGTTAACTACATTTATGACGAAGTCATTGTTATTATAGGTAATCATTGAATATTAAAGTTTCAGAAGTTTCAGTCCAAGATAAACAGTTTTGAACAACCAACAGTTATAAAGAACTGTAAAATGATGTACAGATAAACATTTGAGACTTTTTAAACTTATAAATCATATTGGTGAAAAGCTTTAATGACAAATGTTGGGGTAAAAAATTGTCATTGAACGGTTGTCTGGAGATACGTAAACTTGTGGTTTACAAGCAAAATTTTCAAAATTAAATCTATCCTGGGGGTGACTGTGATCAAAGTGTGAAACTGCATCTATGTAGCGCTACATCTCCTACCTTTTCAGGTTTGTCATCTGATGGAAATATTTTGATAATAAACAGAAATTTTGAACCTGTTACTCACTAAGCCTCAGTGCCATTCTTGTAGCTTTGGAAAGTGCATTTCTAAATAGAAGAGAGGGGCCTGCCCTAGAATGCTAAGTCACATGGCATTATAGATGGGAACTGTCTAGTCCCTGATGGCAGTTCATTTGTTGAGGCTTTGATATTCTTGTCTTTCCCTGTCCTCTTGGCTAAGTTGGTTCATTCTATTATCTGAAGATTTACAAGAGATGCGCTTCCAAAATCTTTGCTTTTCCTAACAGAACATGGATTTCTATCCACAGTGCAATGTTGGCTTTCTTTCCTCCTTGAAAATTCCCATCTTCCTTTGTAAGAATGATATCAGAATATAACATACTGTAGGTGTACTCTCGCTCACACAACCCTGTAGCCAGCACCTGTAAGAAACAGAACACTACCAAACCTGAGAAGCAGCTCCCCTTTGTGATTTCATTCCTCCAAGGACAATCCTGTCCTGACTTCTAACATGAAACACTAGTTTTGCCTGTTACTATCTTACGTAAATAGAATCAATCAGTACATATTCTTTCACATCTGGCATCTTTCTCTCATTTGTACATTTGTGAGATTCACCCTTATTGTTGAGTTGATTGTAGATCTTTCATTCTCATGGCTGAATGCATTCTGTTGTGTGACTATACTGCATTTCATCCATCGAGGACAAAGCTCCTTGCAATACTCATTGGTGAGGAGTCTGCCTTCATACTACAGTGTCCACAAGGATCCTAGGTGCAAGGTGGAAAGGAGGCCATCCTGGGAGATGAGTCCATGTTCTGATCCTCTTCCACCATACAAAAAGGGTGACCTTTAGCATTTGCTATATTTTTCTGGACCTCTGCTTATCTCACTTAACTAAAATAGAATTAAATTCCAGTAGTTCTCAGCAAGAAAATGAGTTCATGTGCAGTGCTCCCTTACCCTGAATGTGTTCCCCAGAGGAGAAGTAGGCAATACAACATCAGAACTTCCATCTGAATGCCTGAGTCCAGTTAGACCACAAGACCAAAGCATCATTGAGTTTGGTTCTATGCTGTTGTTGATAGTAGGTGTTCACATAGGGCAAAATCTCGCTAATTTTCTCAAAAGTATTTATAATTCCTGTTCCCACAGTTGAATTCTCATATTAAAAGACATCTGTTAATTTGGGAGGAAAATAAAATTCCACTCTCTCAATGAAAAATAATTAGAAACCTTTCTTGGGTTTCAGTTTCAAAAATACAAAATGAAATCAATCAAACATTTTTCATATCATTTCTTCTAAGCCTAATCAATTCTGTATCAGGCTGGAAACACCAAGGTATGTCTACCTCCCAATTATGTCTTGAAAGTTTTAAGAGTAAATGAAGTCATTGTCTTTATATGATCTGACACTTCCTGACAGCCTCAAAGTTTTGATTTATTGGATTGATCTACATTGATGATTTTTTTGCAATCCTTGTTACCTTGCTTTCTATCTCCATATTGATCTGTCCATCTTTTAAAATGTATTTAAGTGTAGCTATGGGATGAGTGATAGAAACTATTTCTCTAGTATGTTCTTGTTTTCACCAGCTTCCCTTCTTCCAAAGCTTACCATAGTTTTCTGATTGGCTTTGTTTTAGAAAGTTAAGTAAAGTTGTTTTAAGATTCTCAGGAAGTCACAAAACTTAGGAAGTCAGGTCAAAACTTTTGTGCACCATCCTGAGACTGAGGGAACTGGCTGGCCAGGGGAAGAAGAGAGTCTGGTGTTGGAATGTCACATGTTTTTTTCATCCTTGTCTCTGATATGTTTCCTTAGTTTTAACGCCTCAATATTTTGCTCTTCGTCTAGAACAATGAGAAATGCTACTCTCATTGACAACCCAATACACGAAGTACTGGACTTCTATTTTGTTTGATAAAATGGATCCCAGTTGCACAAGAGAAGCCCCATGGAAAAAGAGACTCCTGACAGAAATGTTGATGAATCCTCAGCTTGGGAAGTGTAGAAGCACTGGAAATCATAGTTTTTATTCCTGACTTCCTTTATATTCAGCAACTAATGTTTTTTACAAGTGTTGGCATGTTAACATCTTAATGCACTTCTAAATTCGTTTTGACACCATCACCAATCTCATCATCTCATATTACGATATGTTCGAAAATTGTACGCAGTATCCATGAAGACACACATGAGGTACCTGAATTATCATTTACCTTGGTGTAAATCCTTCACATGTGCCATGAATGCTCTATGTCATTTGAAATATGGCATCAAAAGTTTAATGCTAGGGAGTTCATAGCAGCTACAAAATACCAAAGAAATAGGGATAAAGAAAACTAAATAGCAGAAAATATTAGATTTGTCAAATGAAAATACAAAAACGATGCAATGTTGGATATGCACTATTGTTTCAACTATATTAAAATATTGTTGCACAGGGCCGGCGCCGCGGCTCACTAGGCTAATCCTCCGCCTAGCGGCGCCGGCACACCGGGTTCTAGTCCCGGTCGGGGCGCCGGATTCTGTCCCGGTTGCCCCTCTTCCAGGCCAGCCCTCTGCTGTGGCCCGGGAGTGCAGTGGAGGATGGCCCAGGTGCTTGGGCCCTGCACCCCATGGGAGACCAGGAAAAGCACCTGGCTCCTGGCTCCTGCCATCGGATCAGCGCGGTGCGCCGGCTGCAGCGCGCCGGCCGCGGCGGCCATTGGAGGGTGAACCAACGGCAAAGGAAGACCTTTCTCTCTGTCTCTCTCTCTCACTGTCCACTCTGCCTGTCAAAAAATAAAAAAAAAAAATAAAAAAAAAATATTGTTGCACAGGAAAAGAGTGGGAAAAGCATATGTCAAAAATTAAGCATGAGGGAGCAAATACTTGGCCTCATAGTGAAGACATCTATGATGATGCTGATGTGCATCACAGTGTTTAGATTTGATTGCCAGCTCTGGCTCCTGATGAGCTGGCTTCTTGCTAATGCAAACTCTGGAAGGTGGCAATGATAGCTCAAGTAAGTGGGTTCCTGTCATGACTGTGAAAGACCTTGTTTGATTTCCCTACTCCCAGCTGACGCCGGTCCAGCCCCAGCTGTTAGAGACATTTTCAGAGTGAATGCTCTCCACCCCAACCCCACCATAACCCCCGCCCATCCCCTACCTCCCTCTGGTTCTCTACCTCTGGAATAATCTTTTTTTTTTTTTAATTAAGTAGGACTATCTCTAAGAGTCAGTATTCTAAGTGATTGTTACTGTGTTTTAGGGGGCAGGGAGGTAGTCTGTTTTTTAACTTTTGCTATAGTGGGAAAACATTACTCTTTTAAAGTTATTGTTAAAACGTTATTTCAGTGGAAGAAGGCAGGGAATATGAAAGGACAATGAAAGAGGAAATTGATCAAAAAGAGAAGCATAATTTCCTTGAATTTAAGCTTTGCTAATTCATTTAAAGCACTATGCAGTTTACTGTCTCAGGCAACTTAGAGATAAGGGATCCACCCAGTGCACTAGATTTTGCTCAAGAGACCCTAGCCCAGAACAGGCCAGATCAAACACTGGACTTTGACAGACTGCTTAACACAGAGTAGGGGAAGTTGGTGGACCCTCTCCTGGTGGTGCTTGAAGTGATTCTGTGAGAACAAAGCTTGAGATCTACAGGGGTTTTGCGATTTTTTTTTTCCCTGAAAATGCTAAAGGATTGTCTGACCCAGCCACATGCTCCCTCTTGGTACTCCTCCCAGTCAAAACTCTAGCATTTTCCAAACCCTGACCAAGATTCAGGATATAGGATGAGCCTGTGAAACCGAATCATTTGGTGATTAGACCTTCACGCGTCACCTGGTAAGTGTCACAGTTCAACTGGTGATCAGAACTAAAATTTAAAGATCGAATTGGGAGGAGACAGCAGGATACAGCTAAACCCAGTCCACGCAGTGTTTTCACATACTTATTTTTGTTAAGACTAGTTGCATATTTTGAAAAAATCATGCTAGTTTAAACTAGAGATTTTGTTGAAATATATTACCAAATGTGGGGTGGACATGAGTAATTGGGCCTTCTCTCGATGTGTTTATTGTCACGACTGGCTTTCTCCAAAATAAATCATCAACCATAGCCAGGCTCGAAGATTCTCCACACAACTCTCCCCCAAAAGCCTCCTGGGCCTGGGGAAGGCCAGACTTCTAACTGCCGTACTCATTAGAACAAATCTTAGGGGAAAACTGGCCCTTTTGAAATCATGCCCATCCCTGTGGATAAGGCCTGGGCAGTGAGAAGGTTGTAGAAATGATCTTTGATTCCCTGTAGAGCCGAGCACCATTCCTGAAAGAGAAAGAGATGTCAAAAACCTCAGAACTGTGTATTTCTCAAATGCTTGAAAAACACCTCACTGTGGATTATATCACACATGTAAATTTTAGTATGTGTTATCTCAATTGTAATTTTGTTAAGACACTATGCATTTTAGTTAGAATTCATATTTAAGAAATTTAAGTCATTAGTAAAGGAGGGTAGGAAGGAAGAGTAATAACAGTACTTCTTGTGAACTAGACATAAAATTTAGATTGCTTGTGTATAGTTTTCATTTAATACAACTAATCTGTGAGGTAAATGTTGATTTTGCAGTTTTACAGATGGTAACTTTAGACTTCAGAATGGTTAACTGATTTGCCCAAATTCATACAGTTAGTAAAAGATAAGACCAGGGACCAAACCCAAGTTACGGTGAAGTCCAAAATCTATGAATATTTGCTATCAAAGCTCTCTACAGCACTAGAAAATGCAAATTTCCATTTCAAAATCAACTCATTCGTTATGGTTAACAATTGCTAAAACATGTACCTTTTCAAAAAAATTAATGAAAAGCAATAATATTTGCCAGTGTCTGTATTACTTTATATTATCCTTTGTTACTTTTAAAAGAACACTGGATATTTTAAGTAATTATATTAGAAACTTACTTGATATCTGCTATGTTCAAAATGCTAACTCCACATTCATTTTCAACTCTTTAACACGAAATTATTCAATCTTGGGGCCAGCGCTTTGGTGC